CACTCTTCTGTTGTTGTCTACATAAAGACAATTTTTACTTTTTGCAGAAAAATATTGTGCAGTTTTACCTTATGTGAAATAATCATGCAATGAAATACTTTGACACCTTAGTATTGTTTTTGTTAAATACACTGCCACAGGGTCATTTTGCATATAACAGATTGTACTCTTAGGTGATTGAGAGTGTTGGTTTTTTTTACACTTTTTTTTTAGAAACTCACTTACCAGCGATATCTTTCGGCTTCAATAAACACCATCACACACACACACACTCACACACATATGGAGCTGGTCCAAACAGACAGTGAGCTGATTGATCCAGGCTGACGGGCAGCTCACTATTTACATGGCCCAGGGTGAGCCGGGAGGATCCTAATGTTAAAAATATGTGCCTTGTGTTTAATGCCAGTGGAGCCAGCGTAAACACTGCAGCGCTGGAGCACAGGGGTCAGGGTGGTTTAGAGAGCACCTCTGACTTATAGGATTACCTCAGCACTGGATCCCAATGTGTCTGACTATCACTCTGACCTCCCTCACACAGATACTGCCTCACATGCACGTCCATACATACAAAAGCTCGTAAGATTTAATGGGGTTTGGATGAGCTCCCGAAGCTGTTTGTTAGCTTTATGGATTTGTGGAAGCAAAACCACACTCTTATTGCAGAAACTGTGCACGAGCCGCACGTGAAAGTCTAGATATCAGCCACGATTTCTGTGTGTTGACGGCACCCGGAATAAAATGCTATAGCTGACATGCTCTGATGGATTTAACATACTAACATACCTCCTATATCAAACTGTGGGAGAAAGGCGATCCATATGGTACTGACAAAACAGGAAGTCTCCCCGCACTTTTACGTGCACAAGACAATGAGCTGCTTAGGCTGAGACATCAGAGAGCACGAGCACACATGGTGTTGTGCCCTGAAGAATAAGAGAGCGAGAATTAGACGGTGCTGCTCACATGTGGCTGCCAAACAATGACAAAGGGGTTCCAAATCCTTTTAGGCAAATACCACAAAAATGACAGACACTATATGGTTCACATTTCCAAACACTCAGCATGTAGTGATACAAGCTGGCAGAAACAAAGGTTTGCCGGATAGCTTTTCTTAAAATTCATGCACCAATGAGGTTGTTTATGGCTTTTAGGAGGTTCCCTTTCTCACAATAGTCTGATGACTCCCTAGTTTTGCCAAACGCTCGGCACAGTTAGAAACAATTACTTCTGAGTCGTCAATCACTTGATGGTGCGGGTGTTCAAGGCACCACGCGGCACTACCAGGTTGAACGAGAATGCCAAAGTTGATGAAAGTGCGTGGAAGGAAGACATACGTTACACAGCTGCTAGGTTGTGACCTGGAAAACGAATCGTTAGTCGGCGTGAGAGGAAAACACTTTAGACAGTGAGTAATTGCTTAGCCCAAGGCGCTGGAGCCCCGCCACGCAGTTACTGGTGCTGGCTATGTCAAGTTAACACATTTTCATTTGGTCAGCCAGTGTAAGAGACGCACCCTAGGTCAGACAAAGTGGCACCTACAACATGTGGTAACTGTAAAGTGCTGCGTGTTGACTGTAACAACAAAGCAGCAGTGCCGAATCATGAGCGGATAGTGAGCACGGTCATTGATCCAAGGTTAGTCCACAGCGAGCCAGGGGTTTTCTTCCTATCTGTGTGATGCATTAGTCATCAGCTACAAGTCCTCGTTAAAAGATGTGCAGGAGAGGCGTGTCAGCGGCTCTCTCAAACAAACACACACCTCTCCCTCAGAGCGATGACAACAGCATCAGATTATGAGCGGGTGCGAAACGCGAGACTGACAGCTCCAGAGGAAGAGAGAAAAGAGACAGAGCGAGGGTGATGCGGAGAGAAAGCAGAAAAGGTAAACAGTTTTTTCCGTGTCTCTCATCAGCCCCGTGTAGTGCAGTTCCTCCTGCTGTCATCCACTGGAAATAATTATCAGGAGGGATGACGGCCAGGTCAACTTGCTCTCTTTTACTTTCACTCACATCCAAATGTTTGGAGACACGTTTTCTCTAAAGAAACACTATCTCATGCTCATTCATCAAAGTTGGAAAAATGCAAGGATGGGACTTTGTCGACCTCTGTGGAAGTCTTATTTGAAATAAAACTCACATGCTCGTCAGATGTCGTTTCCTCTTCTCTCATTTTGTCACCGCTTCATTGTGCAAGCAGTATGTTCAGTTTAACTACGCTTCCATGTGAAACTGATACAACTTCCGAAACACTGCCATGAATTGAGTTCTTGTCACGCAAAGTGATGTCATGTTAAAAGCACATGGCTTTTCTTGGAAACACTTTAAAAGTCTTGTATACGGGATACACTGCACAGGTCAGAGAGTCGGAAACACTGTTAAAGTAGAGGTGGAGAATGTGTGTTTTTTTCAAAAGCCAGAAATTTGTTTAAAAAAACATTTTAAATATCGCAATGTTTATAATTGAGCTTAATTTGATGTTAGACAGATCCTTAATCCATTAACTCAGTAGGATTGCATTTGGCTTCTTGTAGCAAATTAAAATAAAAGCCAAAGCATTGGAGTAAA